TTTTCAGTCTTCATCGAATTAAAAGATGTTCTATCTGATTTTACTTAAGTTCCCTAAAGCTAACCGTCAAGCTAGAGGATAAGCCTGGAAAATTTCAGACTGAACGATGTGTTTTTCCAAGCAAAAACTGGCGTGGGTTATAACAGAACTTACGGTGATGTTGGAGCTCACCCGCATTCCCATACAGGGAAGGAAGAGGCATATGGAGCTGTGCTGCTCCCCGGCACCGACCCTTTGCTCCAACAGTCCCTTTCTGGGACCACTGCTCCTGTTCCCAACAAAGCAGGTGAGCAAGGAACGGCCAGTAAGGGCAAGCAAATGGAGCTGTGCTATTCTGCCCTCTCAACAGCACAGAAAAGCTCATGAAAACAGACAAGAAATAGGTTGGCAGGTCTACGCAGAGAGCGGGGAAGCGGGCACAGGCAGCAAGCCCTATTGCTGATCGCCTTGCTTTCTGCCTACAGCCCTGCCAAGATTTGACAATGTGCACGGGGAGAAATGAACTCCAAATATCAGCCGGCAGACTGGAGTGGAGCGTGCTCCATCGCGCTGGTGCTTGATGTACCCAGATGGCGTGAATGAGAGCTTGGTGATGAGTGCCCTTAAGTTTATCATCTGCGGGGCATAAAAGTTCAGTGCAAGCTTGTCTTTAAGTGTGCAACTGCATGTGAACAGATTTGAGGCACATCTGGACTTGAGAAAAGGGCTGGATCAGAGTTTCACTGGCAGTGTGGGCAATGCTGAGATGTTTGTGTGACCACCAGGCCTCAGAGTAAAAAGAATAGCTGAGGACCAGGCTGCAACAGGGAGACCTACCAAGCACCTGCTAGGACAAAACCCCTTAGAGGAGGAACCGTTAAAAACGCACAGAAACGGGGAGCCTGGCAACACTTATTTGTGCGAAGGGAAGACGTGCAGTTCAATGCCACACACTGCACTGCATAGCCTTACCTCTCCGTTTCAATAAAAGAGTTGAAATCATCAGCCGAGCTGGAAGTGGCAAGAATTCAAGTGAAATTGGAATCTCCAAGGCAGCCTGCTGAGGCTGGTTACTTGACCCACCATGTTGGCCCGAGATCCTGTTTTTGTCTTGTAGAATAAGGAAACCCATTATTGCTAACATGTGCTGCAAGAGTTCGTTAGCATTGAGGGTTCCCTTAGGAGTGGGCTAAGTGATGTGATCCCATTTTTCCCTATGAATATTTATAAGCAGACCACATTTGAGTCTATTTATTTTCTGGGATTTTTCTTCTTTTTTCATGAGGTTTTCAATTTTATGTCTGAGGTTTTTATTTTCTATTTTTTTAAGGCAAGACTAATTGCAGGGGGGAAGAAGGTTGTTTGGTTGTGCAATAGCAACAGCTGTTGTTTTTTTGTGCCTCATTTGGCATTAGAGTAAAAACAGCAACTTTTTGTTTGTAATAATAACAGATGTGTATAGCATTAAATGCAGTCTGCGCTAGAGATGGGAGAACATGTTCTGAATAAATTTTCAACTCACTTGAAGTTCACGGGTTCAAAATTTACCCACAGAATCGAACTTCACATGCCGTGAATTTAATTCTATTAACTTTTGCACAGCCTTGGAGCTCTGAAAAGGCTGCATGCTGTAAAATTCACCAGGCTCTCCTCTAGCAATACAAAAAGAGACATGTCCATGACTGCTGACCATTACCACAGGTTTACATTGTTAGTGGGGAATGCCAAGGTGTAAGGACAGGAGGTGAGGCGGAAAATTATAAGGATGGATAATGGGAAAGGAGATGGCACAAGGCAAGAAAGAGGCTGGAGCAGGGTTAGGGCAAGTGAATCGCAAATTAGTTAAGAAAAAGTCTAAAGGACCTCTGAAACTCAGTCTTGCCAAGATTTGAGATTACTCCCTTTCTATAAAGTATTTAAGCATCTGTTTAAGTTTAAGCACACATGGAGGGCCTACTAACTTCAGCAGGCCCGGACACACGGTTAATAGTTTTGCTGGATGGGGGCCAGCATGTACCGCACCTTGCGGGCTGACACTCCAGGTAACTGAGAGAGGGAATATCTATGTGAAGTCAGCAGTCGGAAAGTAAGAAACAGAAACCACAAGCCACAAGGCTCACTAGAAGCCCAAGGAGGACTGATTTTACTATAAATATGACAGGAGGGATCGAATTTGTGAGATGTATTGCCTCCGCTGCAGATGAAAAGAAGCTAAGACAGACACTTCCTCTAATTACTGGTACAGGATTAAATGCTCCAAAAAAGAGAAGAATAAAAGAAACGGGGAAATGTGTCTAGCCCTATGAAGAAAATTAAAGAAATTGCAGAAACAATCTTCAAAAATATGTCAGTCTGCCACCAACACATTGAATAATATAAATGGTTGCACGGTTTCGGAAATTTCTGCAGAATTACCACTTTGAAACCCATCCTTTCAAGAAATAATTGGTCCAAATCTATTTTGATGAACTAAATATTGTCCCATCACAAAAAAAACCCCACATCATGCAAAGAGTATTAGGACTGCACAGTAAAGCATTTAAGCCAAGGAATAATATTGTGAGTTCCTATGAATCTTCAATCCCTTCACACTCAGTTGTGTGTATCATAACAGAGTTTTAATGAGATAACTTTATGTGGTCTGACACCCTAAGGGATCCTAAACAGCATTTTATTCCACAGCAGCCTTCAATAGTCAGTAGAGACTGCTCATTGCCAGAAATATTGTGAAGAGAGAAAAGAAATGGAGCTCAGGCCCCTACAGTTTGCAGAGACAGCAGCATAACTCTGTGCATGATATCTAGACTTTCAGTATCAGACTCACTAATATATCTTTATCTTGAATAATGTGGTGTGTTTAATTAATGTTTATAGATTTGTGACAGAATATCTCATCAAAGAGAGTGGAGCACAGATGAAAAGTAAAAGATTTAAATTCATTAGCATACATTATTTGCTTTAAAATTACTTGGTACCCACTTGGAATAGGAAAATAAATCTCACTCTAGAGTTTACATTCTTTCTCCTAATTGTCCTTCCAATGTAGCTTGGAAGAGCAGAAATGTAATGTGTACCTGTGCATGGGTTTGCATGCAGCTCGCTGTAGACTCCATTTTAAGGCAGGGACCAGGCTGACTGGTTAGATACTGGAGGGAATGGTGCTGCAGGGTAACAAAGCTGGTCTTTTAGTCCTAGGGAACTCGATCTTGTTTGAGGACTCAACTCAGAGGTCTAGGGCAGTTTAGGACTTCACATTAACCTTGGAGCAGATCGTGTAGCAGCACCGAATGAGTTCTTCAGTCAGCCAGTTATGCTGCCGCAGGAGTGCAGATGGTGAATTGTTACCCATCACTATTTTCACCTTAGAAGCCACTTCAACTGATCATCTCACTGCTCAAATTTATATACGGGTACTGCTGAAGTGGTGTATTTCACTTTAGATCTATATTAAGCCATATTAGTTATTTGATCTCAGAAGCATCTTAAATGTTTGAAATGCATCAGCATAGGGAAAATATAAATGAGATGCAGTGTGTGACAGGTTCTTGGCCAACAAAGAATTTGAAGAGACCTGAAGAATCTGAGCTCTCACCTCCTGCTTATACTGTGAATGGCTTGAAGGGAGCAAATCTGATTGCCATGAGCCACACCAGGTTCCTAGAACAGCTCCATTTGTTCACTCTTCCTAAGATGTGTGCGACATCTCACGTGCATGCCCATTAACAGGAGAACTGCCCTCTGCAGTGAGTGCCAAAGTGACAGGAAGAGGATGTCCCCTCTTCTGAAGATGCAGGCATTGCTCTTGCAGCCCACTGCCACAGCAGGACAGGGAGCACCAAGGTACAGACTCTCTATTCTACCATCCCTTCTGGCTGTCAAAAGTTTACACATATAAAATTTTACAAACTAGAGTTTGTCATTTAAAATTTTATACCTAGGTGTCTGTGACTCATATTTTCCCCACTGGCTTCCAGGATGGAGAAGGAAACACTGAGAAGGTGTAATGCTAACGACTTGGCTCTCTTCTGCAGGTCTATTCAAAGATCTGCCCCTACATGAGGTGCTATTTAGAGCTCCCTCTTCTGAAAGCTTGAGCCATTAAAACAAAATAATTTGTCAGTGACAGAAATCCAAGAAACAAAGGCTGGCTTTAGCTCAAGGTTTCAAGTAATGCTAATTTTTGAAGCGATTAAGTAAATTTACAATTACACCACTCTTTGGGTTCATTTCAGACTTTCAAATAAAAAACACTCAGGCTGCAATCTTAGAGAAAGCAGCATGGCTTGATTAAAATAATTTGCTTTCCTTTGACTAATTTACTTTTTCAACCAGCGCATTTCACATGCACTGAGAAATGCAAGTGCAACAACCTCCTGTGGTTTGCCTTAACAATGTGCATGCTCTTGAAATATTAACACAGTCATCTCACCACTCTATAAAGCTATTAAGTATAAGTGAAAGAGATGTTCCAGTGCAGATACTTGGGACAGAGAAAGTTAAATGGAGGAGGAGAAAAGGAGCACAGACTCTTCAGAGCAAGGACAGAGGTGGGAAGCCCATATTGAGGGTAGCACTAGCACACTTGGGAAACACCAGCCTAAATTAACATGCCAGAGGATTCCTTCCTTCCAATCTGCATGCCCCACTGCCATGCACATACTTCCAAGAAACACTGAAAAAGATAATAGTGGAGAAAAAAAAGAGAAGAAAGCTTTGTTCCTTTAAAAAATCTTACATGAGGACAGCTGCTGACTGGAATGCATTGTTTCTTGCGACACTCTGTCTTGCCTTTCACACAAGCACAGATGGTGCAGTTCACAGAGGACCACATCTCTCCATCCTGCAAGAGGGAACATGATATAGTATCAGCTGGGGTGGCAACAGGAAGCTATTTCAGCAATGTATCATTGCACAAGAAAGGATGACTTTCCCTGTTGGCATTGTGTCATTGTTTAGTCTAAATTATTTTGAGGTGTCTGCCCATGGCCAGTCAGATTAAAGACAAAGATCAAATCCAGCAGGGTTTTCTTCCCTTTGGCCCTCCAGGTCAGAAATTCATCTTTTCAAGGCTAACCAAATCACATTTGCATTTTTCATCAGTGTCCTGACTATTTGCATTGTTTTCTCTCCAGAATGTGTCTGATATGTGATCACACCTACCACAAATTTTCATTTAAGCTCACATAATTAGAAAAATCTGATTCATTGGGTTGAGTGACGTCTTTAAGTTGTTGCACGTGAAAGTATTTGATTAAGATGTCAGCATGTAGTGAATTTATTCCCAGATGCAGCATCATTTTGACTTAGGGCAGGAATGGTCGAATAATGAATTCTAATTCAGATTACTTACAGCACTTTCACAGATACTTGATCTGCTAAACATCTGAAAATGTTTAGAAGAGATACAGTGCTGAACTTCTCAAACACAGAGCAGGTGAGATAGTCTATGTATGGCTCAAAGTATTAGGTGCAGAGCAAAATATGCCTCATGGTCTTGTCCCCACTTACTTGGGATGGATTGCTTGTGGAACTGCCCTGGCTCCTTTTTACATAGTGTTGCGTTTGCCAAGCGTGGTTCCTAAAACATTCTGTCTCACCCACTTATAGTCTTGTGCTAGCCCACTTAGAGCCAAAATATGGATGTTTTCTGTTTACAGGGCTGCTGTGAAGGAAGAGTGAGGATAGACCTGACGGGACTAGGCAGTCCAACCAGACAGCTGTGAACAATTACGTGCCCACCTCAACATGATGTTCTAACCAGAGAGAAAAACATAATAAATCTGAAATGCCAAGGAACCTAACTTATTGAGTGAAGCATGCTTGGTCAAAGGCTCTCTCCCCTCTATCTTTTCTTTCCAGGCCGTGTTACGATTGCCTGGTGTTCCTGATGCAGTACATGTTCTTGTAGGCCTCTAATGACCACTCTCCAAGCATCTGCTAAGGTACCAGAATATACCACATTTGACTGCATGCAGCTACCCCAGTTTTTTTGTCTCACAGCTGGTTTTGCACAGGAGTGCAAAAACACATTCACTGTGCCCGTTCTACCTGTGTTAGAATATTAACTTCAACAGAGCGATGCTGGATTTACCTTTTTGCACACGAGGCCAGAAATGAGTGTACTGTCTCGTTATTTTTTCTTACTCCATATAATACTTAGTAATATAGTAAAATCTTCACAAGAAGCAGAATATTTTAGTTGGGTGCCTAAGAAGCAGGCATTTGTTCCTGAAGCACAATAGCACCAGTGTGAAGGTGCCAATCAGATGGAGTATAGCCTCAGCATACAGTAGGTTCCCATGTAATTTCCAGAATAAACACTTCAGCTATGTACACAAAAGATGGAATAAATGGGAAGCAATTTTGGCTGAGCAAACCAAGTACTCACAAAGGATTTAGGATTTGATCTGATTCAAGGGTCTCTTAATTCACAGATGGCCCATGAGGTGACAGAATCTTTTTCTGACACAGTGTGAAAAAAGCTGCACCACTTGGAAAAACAAACAGGGTCTCAGCAATAGATGAAGTGTTCTGCAGGGAATCCCTTGTGATTTGAAAACATTGGGTGAGAGTGCAGTAGGTAACAGTTACTACATGGCTGTCTCAATACAAAATGCCAGGGGTGCTGTCCTTAGCAGAGACATGAAATGTAGTAAATCAAGACGAGTAACTTTCAGCCAAGATGAACTTTGCAAAGCTCCTGTTGGCTCAGCTATGGAAGGGACTCTGGCTCAGCAGATAAAGCCTACATACCACTCTGAATATCTTCTCCATGAATATTAGTGTTTGTTTGGGAAAGCAGAGCATTACTGTCTCTTACTGAAAACACATTACTTGTCTCGAAACAGCAGCTTGAATCTCTGTGTACGGAGAGGGAGACAACATCTCACATCAAGGAGGAACTAATCTTTAACTGCTGTGTATCGGCAGAATTACACAAACTCAGAAAAAAAACAGCAGATGGTAAATTTTGCAAAGCTTTGCCTCCGAGTTGTTCCATCATCAACCAGGATGGTGAGGAGTCTCCTAAAAACACCCATAATACTAATTTACCATAAACTCATGCTGTTTCAGCTGTTATAACGGCATCTATTCTTGAGCCACACCTGAAACTTTACCTGGAAGATCTTATTGCCAAACTTGCACACTTCCACTTGCTCAGGAGAGATACGAGAGCTACACTCCTTGCAGCAGTGGTCTTGGTTTTTATTGCATTCACCAGGAAGTAAGCACCTCTTCTTACATATCACTGTTGAATCCTAGGTAAAAGGACAAAAGGGAATAATGAAATCATTGCCAAGATGTCTGTGCTCCTGTGTGTCCTTACCACGATATTTCTGCTTGCTCAGTCATTGCATCCACCCAAACTACAGCCCATCTGCTTTGAGTAGGTCAGCTCAGAGGAAATAAAAATTATTTAATGGATTAAGGGAATCCTTCATGGTCTGTGAAGCTAAAGCCTAGCTTGTACTTCTGTTGGCCTGCAAAATCATACTGATTTGTTAACACTTTCATTTTTTTGCCTAGGTGCAAAACTGCAAGTGGTCACAGTCATGTCAGGGGAACTTAAAAAAAAAAAATCACTGCCCTTCAGCACGGATGTGGTAATTCACCATTAAGAAACTCCTTTTCCACTGTAGTGCAAATGTAGAGAGGATCACATAATCTGAGTAACTTCATTTTGCATCACACAGAGCCAAGCATCATGTCTCAGCTGAGGCAATCGGTAACTTTTTAAACTTTCCTAGCACAACTGCAAGCGCTCTTCAGATCAGATTCTCAGGGACCACACAAGATGCCAAAGAACAACAGTATCAGGGTTTACGGTTCCACAGCCCTACAAATTACTGCTAAGCCACACAACCGGCAACACAGAATACCAAAGCACTGTGGACTTACCTTGCATGTACACATTGTGCAGTTGTCATAAATAAAGGAGGACCCATTATCATACACGTTACTGTGAAAGAGGCAGCTTCCAAATGGGAGGTCAAACACTTTCCTCTGTCCTGAATATAAACAAACAGTAATAGAAACAGAATGTGGTTCAAAAGATGCCGTATTGGCAACAAAAATAGTAGGGCTTATTGTCACCAGACCAAATTCATGTGTAATGTGTCATTTGCTATGTGTTTCCATTTTGGTGGGAAAAAAATATGTACGTTTAATAGTTCACTGTTCTTCTAGCACACACTCATCTGTACTAATTCTACCGTGGGAGGGAATATAAGTATGACTTATGGCATGTTTATACTGGAAAAATCTTTCTTCTCCTTCTCATCATAAAGTGCACAGTGCAGCTAAAGGAATAAAAAGTAAGCACTGCAAACTCTTAGGGTAGGTACACTTAAACTAGTTTAAACAGTCTTAAACTTAATACAATAACTTATCAAATAAAGCAGCCTTAACTGGTTTTAGCATGTCTGCCTCAGGGGTTCAGAGCAGCCAAACTAAATCAACCCAGTAACACTGATGCAAAAAAAACATAGGTGGTGTCCCATCTCATTAAGATAGTTTGGTGTACCACGTTCACACAAGGTTGCAAGAAATACAGGCATTTGCATCATTTATGAGCAGAATGAGGGCAACACAAGATATTTAGTTTCCATGACCCTTAAAATATTTGGGTTTCATGAGAGCAAGGCAAGGTTTAAAGCACTATACAGGGAAGGCAGTATCAATATCAAACCCTTCCTGAAGTCCTGCGATCCTGCAAACACTTTCAGATCCAAGTTGCAACACACTTTGTAGTTCTGCAAGCTTCTATTCCTCAGCTTCTTTCCTAGTAGGTTATTTTAAACAAGTGACCATTACGATGCATAAACATGAGCTCTTTACAAAAACACTATGCTTATCTTCCTGGTTTTTAATACCTTCCCCTGTTTACTTTCGGTGGCAGCCAATTAATAAGTTCTTTTATGAGTGGCTACCAGTCTCCTGGTTTATAATTTCTGAGGTCTGATGTTAAATTGGCATCAATTCTGAGGCGGGAATGGCCACTATAAGTACGTACAAGAGGTCACTAAGCGCTAGGCCAATACTTTCGCTCTCAAACCACTAGGCCTTGGCATACTGTAATTCCTTCCCTTTTCAATAATTCTTGACAAATGCAGAACCGCTTAAAAGAAAAAGGTTCCATTTTCTTCCGCGATATAAGCAAACAAAAGGATAACGACACAGTAAAATCCATTGGATTAGCCTTGAGTTTTTACAAATCTAATGTTAAAATAACTATTAAACAAAAGTTAAGAAATAATTGATACTGTTCAGTTAGACACAATTTGAACACCTCTCTCTTGCAAATTAGCTACCTTGGACTAATCTGTGCTTGCATAACCAGCCTTCCTTTTATTGAATGTGCCTCTTTCTGAAAGGGCTTAACATCTCTTGCAGCACTGACATATGAAATCAGCTGAAGATGCTCAGTAGCCCTAAAAGGAACTGCTCTACATCCATGCACCACTTACGGGCAAAGCCTAGCCATAGTCCCGCCTGTAACAACACTTCTACTGCTCTATGTGGGGCCAGGACCTCAATCACATAACTTATGTCAGCAAGTGAACAGAAGTCCAGTTTTCTCTCTCTCACTCTCTTGCCATGCCTTGCAAACCACCCAGCGCAATTCCAGGTGGCCAACCCAGTTCAAATAGTTGGTAAAAAACCACTGACAAAGGAGCTACCACTTTAAAAGATGTAGTGGTGAAGATATTGGCTTAATGGTTGGTTTTGCTGGCTCATAACCCCTAGTTAAACTAATAATTCAAGTCCCAGTAGAGTCCACAGCATTCCTCTAAGCTATATACACTGAGTATCAGGAATTCAATTGCAGGGAGGTCCTCCACATGATACTTTAAAAACCATGCCTCAGCATCCCTGAAAACATTTCTCTTTCCTGACTGCCATGCAGTATGCTACACATCCCATCGCTCTACCTCCACTCCAAAACTTTCAACACTTCCCTGTGAATAGACAGCATCTATTCACAGGTATACGACATGCTTTAGAGAGAAGACCACGTAAAATGAAAATCATTATTATTAGTGAACTCATTTACAGACATTTCTAAGAGGGGAAAAAAATAATCTGTAGAAAAAGCCTCACAAAGCAGTCAGAAATTAAAGCTGGGTTTTGAATGCCTAGATCAAGGAGGAGAATGTTCAGTTGGGAAAAGCATGGGTTGGAGAGGACAAAAGGAGTTTACAGAAGAAAAAGGAAAAATGTCCGCAGCCAAAATAGAAGCTCAGCCTTTTGGACTGCTCTCCTCTCCATTTCATTCCTCTACTGTATTACTCTCTGGTGCTGCAGTTAAATGTTTCAAGCAGATATTTATCTCTAGCACTTCTTAATTAGCAAATAAATAAATAAACTCAAGTTTATTTCAAGCAGTCAAAAATGTTAAGTATTATGAAAAGCTGGAACTCTCTATGGCTTGCTGCCTCTGAGGTCAGACCTCTCTGTATCCCTAATCTAGCCCTAGAAACAGACTTTGAGTCACAGTAAAGATATAGTCAAAATGACAAAAAGTTTCTGTTGAAGAACTCAGGGTTAGCAGCTCTGAAAATTTTCCAAACCTGGTTATAACTTCATAGACCAAGTTAAAGCTAATTTACTTGGTAGGATGTAAGTGCTCCTCGTTTATGAAATAGACGGACACTTGCTGAGGCGTGTTAACCTGTGAGATCTGTGGGCATGGTAAGAGCAAAATAAGGACTCTCAAAAGTCACTGCCTTCCTTGACATGACTTGGAAGAACTAGGCCTTCTTAGAGGTCTCTGACTTACTCCTTTAAAATGTGTTGGAAAGATGTAATTGAAAATATTCCTGGCTGAAACTATGATTCCACCTTAAGAAGGCAACCATGAGGCAGACTCCTGGGTCCCTGGCCTTTCTGACTACAGCTTCTAAGAATGCAATTTCAGTCCAGAAGTTTTCTCTGACCTGCATTTCCTCCAAATCAAGAATGCAAATGCACACTTACATAAAAATATGAGAGGGTAAGCCCTTTATCTTGTGGAAAACTCCAACAAACACTTCCCCCCGCCTCAATCTCCTTTGTGAACCATGTAATGAAGGTGCGAAACATCTCTGTACTTGTCTCCATAAGCAAGACAACTGGTCTATGCACAAATGCTCTTCTGCGGCTGCTTGCTTAGTACCACCCATCACAACCCCTACACGCTGACCCCCGCTACCTGTTTAAACCTGCAGATTATAAACTCCACTGAGCAACACTGCCTCTGTCACCTCCCAGAATTTACCAGTATTGTGAAATACTGGTATAAAAGACACTACACAAAAACATATCATATTAATTACCAAATTCCCAGGGTTAAAAAAAACACTCACCTAAGCATTTGGGGCAACACTAAAACAGCAGGAAGGTGACTGAGGTGCTGGGGACATGAAAGAATGGGGCAGACTTCTTGGATGCACTGTGTCCTGCCACCCTGAAAGAAAACAGGCTCCATTAGAAAAAAAAAAATAATTAAGCAAAATGTCAAGTAGATGTGCACACACTCTCACAGACTGGTAACAAGTCTTGAAAAGCCTTAGCCAAAGCAGTATTTGCCAACAGAAGTTTCTGCTTGCATCAGGCATAAAAGGAATGTGTACAACTGTCCTTCGACACTTTCTACGTTGCTTGCAGAGACCTTGGATTATTCGTATTTTTTCATCCTCTCAAGCAATAAATGTAATAGTTGAAGAAACAGTGTCTTTCTGTCTTATTTCTTGGTGTGGATATGAGAAAACCAGGGAGAATAAAACCATTATCCATGAACCTTTCCGGATGTTCAAAAAAAGTTATTGAGCAATTTTTTACATTATTCTTCACCTCCTGTGCCATGCCCTTCTAGGCTTGTCTGGGACAGGGATTAAGTGCTGAAGCAAGATGAGAGCAGGTGTTCTTCCACTGTGTCCATGACCTCAGAAGCCAAATAAGCCAAAATCACTTAAGAAAGCACATTCTTCTTAGCCTCCAAAGTCCAACTATGCAAACCCAGAAGGTCTGCTTTTTTCAGAGGACTGAAAATCAAGAAGGTATATGAAATTTTGAGAGTGAAGGGGGGGGGGCAGGGGCAAGCAAACTGGACTGGCTATACCTGGTGTATCAATGAATATCAGAAACAGAGAGAGGTAAAAAGCACAGCAAAGAAAAAAGCACAGAATATATGTCTAAGATTAAGTCAGTCAAAAGAGATCTTTGTTCTCATTCTGCTCTGTTGCCTGATTACTTCACTGTGCTTATAGCACACTGAGTTTAGCTCTGGACCCTCTACCAACATGTGCTCCACATGCTCATGAGAGAGGTCTAGGTTGTTAAACTTTAAAAATCAGTCCACCTTTGTCTTAGCAATGGAGGTCAGCCCTTTTCATCCAACTGCTCTGCCCTATTTATCACTCAGAGCTGCAGGCTCATCCCAACAATAAGCTTTGTGTTCGGGGATGCTGTGATGGAAGACTTATGAACAGTCTCCTCCCACCTACACATTGGATGCCTCTCGGGGGTCCCTGGGGAAAGATGGAAAGAGCTGTTCATTTCGAAGAGCTCTATGTCTGAAATGATGGTATGCCATTCCACTCCTAATGGCCTCAGTGAATCATGTAAAAGCAGACTCACATATACACTACTATACACAAAATAACGTACTGACTGTACCCCCGTTCTATAATAAGTTTTCAGGCACTGAAGTCTACCTGTCCCACGGGGCTACCAAAGCATCCTGAAAGCACATGGCTAAGGACTGCTCGTAATTCTTTCACTGCGGTGTGTAGGAACACAGAGTTTATTGTAGACTGAAATGACTGCTCTAAATTAAAGGTCAGACTAGAAACATGACAAAACTAAATTAATTCTTCACTGATGTTCCTTATGATGCTCAGGGAATAGCTCTGTGAGAAGAGACACAGGTGCAGAATGAAAAAGAAAATACTAAAGGAGGACTTTCTGAAGCAGTGCCATCATTCAGCCCAAGGAAAAAGGCTAAGAGAAGACAAAGTTCAAACTTCGGTGACAATTCAGCAAATGGGAAAGTAGGGTATGGAGTCTTCAGCTAGCCTGGTGACAGGATCAGGGATACATCCATGGAAGATAAAGCAGTGCTCCAACACATGGTGGGCACAGGTCCTTTGTTGCACCCTTGCTTCTGTATTTAATACTTACGTATCCTATGCCTCTGTGGAACTGCCCTGGAGTCTTGCTTCTCTGACAGATCGGATCAAAGCTCAGGCTTAGCACATTATTGAGATATTGCCTTTGCAGCCTGTTGTATAGATAACTTTTTAAATACAAAATGCCACGGATAATATGAAATATTTCTTCCTTTCAGCCTTCTGTTTATATCCCCTTTTTAACTTTGTGTACTGGCCCCTCATCTACACAAAACTAAGTCTGCTTGCATCTCTCTACCCCACTGCTACTCCTGCTTTGAGCTGTAACGCTGCTTTTTAACACCAAACTATTTTCTAACTTGCTGCTGTCCCAGATAGGCTCTTCCAGGCTTGAATATCATGCTAGGGTGAAGTTCAAAAACAGTCTGAAACAAATCAACCTGTACCACTTAAAGTAAGAATAATTCTACTTGCCCTACAGAGGTTAGAGAGATAGCTCGTTGAGCACTATAAGGAAATATCAAAACCTACACAATATTTCCATTTTCTTAAAAGCCTTAGTCATCGCAATTCAAAACTTACAAAGCATTCAGAATAGCAGCTTTCAAAGCAGGATTAGCTAGTGCTGCCAGTGCTTTAAATTGCATGGAACAGAGCTGCGTAGAAAAATCAGTGCAACAAAAGTTCAACAGCAAAAACAAACAAAAAAAACAATCAAAGGAAAATAATAAATCCGAAGAGCAAACAGACTGGCTCTGGATGGCCTAAGTCAGAGCAGGAACTGCACAGTAAACACCTTGCCGCGTCCACCTCCCAATTACATCTAGGGCTCTTAGCTCACGTTTTCTTGTTAAGCATAACATCTCCCAGGCAGCCAGAATATTCCAGGTCCAATGCAACACCTTCCAGTAAAACCAAACCTGAATTGGAAGCCAGCACAGACCAATAAAGCACAAGTGACATCTGCTTCCTGTGAGAAAAGCTGTTCAAGAGCTAGGCGACTAAATCCTCGAGTGATAGTTACGTGAAGCCTTAATCAGGGGACGCTGCTGCAATCCACAGTCCTCTGGAGGTAATGGACTTTGTAAAATCTACAGTCTGCAATGAAAAGATTCACTTTCCACCTTGGAGACAAACAAAACCGCTGTAGCTCCTGCTGCCACCTGGAATCTGCAAAACAAAGCAAGAGCCTCCCTGGCATCGGCTCAGGGAGTGGTACGGACTGAGGTATCATCCCATCTCAGCAGCTTTCTCAAGAGACAGAAGAGAGGGGAAGATGAAATAGCACTTTCTAGCTCTCCCATGAGAGGTCCATCTTTGAGAAAGACAAACAATGAGTCTTTCCTAAAACAAAAGCACGGAGCTAGCCTAGCTACCCATCCATCCACATCTGCTAAGCTCCTACCTCGACTATGATACTTCACTGTTCAATTAGGACACAAGGAACTTGGCAGAGGTGAGAGACGCACCCATCCAGACTGCAGCTGAGTTTGCTGGAGACACTGGATGAAGCACAGAGTGCAGTTTCTGGGGAGGCTACCCACATCCCTGGTGCACAGCATGTATGCAGCCTGCGTGCTACAACAGAGGAAAAAAATGTCTGCAGAAAAAAACTGTCTTGTCCAAAAACTCCCCAAAGGTTGGGAGCCTGCTGCAACTAATCTCCAAGAGCCTTAGGCTTCATCTACCACAAGGGCAAGAACAGTGACCACCACTAGCAGAGCTGCCCTTGCAATAAGCAGATTTCGAAAGCACTCATGAAATCTCAAGAGGACAGAGGTTTCCATATTCCCAATTTGTTTGCTACTGATAATGAGTGTGTCTAAACTTAACAATATTTTATAGACTTGTTATTTAATGTTAAAGGTTAACTTCAGTATTATCAAGAGCCATGTTTCTTGTGGGCATTCCATTTTCCATTTCACTTTCAGGCCTTATCTCTGTGCTTTAGTGAAGCTATAAATCATCTTAAAAAGATTCCTCCCTAGTTTTGCCCTATGTTCACCTTGTGCTTGAAAGACTCTGCTAATCCTCCAACAGAAGTAAAATTTCCATTATTTTGCAGAATATTTTGTCTAAGTGCTGGCATTAGGATTCAGCCCACAGTGGATTGCAGGCATTTATTTTTAACTTTCAGTCTAGAAGAAATGTGAAAGGTTTCATTTGCTACCAATGAGGCTACCCTTGCAGGGAGGAAAAAAAAATTATAAAGAAATATCAAAATTGCATTTCTCTCAACTCCAGGATACGTATTCCAGACATTTAGAGCAAGGACAGATGCACGCTGTAGCCTCAGCAGGGATTGCTGTAAGAACTAAGACAGATGTTCAAGGTTGTCTCCAGTTTTGAATAAAGACTTTATGCCACCAGCACGAAAAATACCTTTGAAAGTTCAACAGGGTCACTACTGAGCAAGTTGCCCCGTGCCAGTGGCAAGAGAAGCCAAATAAACACACAACTGTACGGCTGTTTGTGTTCAACCGCTTTAGCACAGTGCAGGTGAATACAACCACCATGAACATATTAAGAGATATTACCATTTTTGTGACAGCAATGGCATAAAAGCAACAAATAGAAATCTGCCGATAAAGAGATAGACATATCATTTGAGATTCAGATAACGATGATCATCACTGTTCTGGGAAAAAAAAAAAAAAGATTAAGGCATACCAGAGTTCCTATTTCACTACACCACATTCACTGATGTGTATAAGGCTTCCTACGTGAATTGGGTAGCGCATTGGTTTGCATACACTTGTTGGTCACCAGGAGCTCTGACGTATTAACTACGGTGTGATAGTAAAGACTTCCACTACCTCCCCCAAACATGTACTAAAAATACAAAACCAGTCAGCAATGAGTACTATGCAAACATCTTCAAAACGTCCCTGGAATCACATGCTTGTAAACCCACACCTTGAGTTTACAATCAGATATACAGTCCCTGACGTGCAGGCACAAAAGTGAGAGGATATCGTATTTAGAGTGTGGTTTTAATCTGGAAATAAAATAGGTGTTCTCTCCCAAATCTGATGAAAGGCTCCCCAATTCTTATAAAAATGCTGGTGCAGTATGTGGCAGACAGCCCCTGGGAGTACCTTCGCCCTTACACAGTATTTCAGGATCCCTGAAACAGCCATGTCGTGCACAGTGAGAGTTCCCTGGAAGGTCAGGGGAAGGAGAAAGTATTTAGGAAGTGCACAAAGTAGCAAAACAGTTCTCAGCATAAAAGCAAACAGCACATGAATCAGTTCAGCAAACAGACAGACAGACAAGCCAGAGCTTCCCACATCCCTGCAGCCTGATCTGTTGTCTAGACTAGGATTTTAAAAATGCC